CTTAAAAGTATCCTCGTGTGTTGCTTCGGGGCAGCTTTGGATTGAGTTACCCGAGTGAACTCCCTGTATTCTGTTTAGTGTTCATTTTTTTAGGTGCCTTATTAAATTGGTAGTATTGAACGCAGCTCTTCTGACGCTAGTAAACACAACCTATTCTCATGAAAGAAGCTTAGAGAGTGTAAAACATTCTTAATTTAAAACACATTTTTAAATTTTCAATCCAAACATTAGTCACTTTAGAATAACTTTCCTTGCAGTCAGGGCCACCTGACATACTGGTTGCACCACCTGACTTTACAACTTATTTCAAATGAAACAGGCTTATAACATGAAACTTGTACTAACTTTCGCCTTTGCTAGCAAGTTCATACATATATTGTTTTGATTAAATAAAGGGTATTATGATAAATAATAATATACTAATAATAATAATTTTCAAGTATTACATTGGTTGTACCACCTGACATGGAAAGTGAACCAGTCTGACTATAAGTTAAACATCGGTATTTTGGGATTTACAAACCTTTTCACTCAGACATAAAGGTTACTTGGGGTCCTCTGGATGATGCAATAACCTGTTACTGTTAATAAATTTTCACTCTGGAATAAATGTCCCATGCTTATGGTTGTGCCACCCTGACAATTGAAAACATTAAAATTGCTGGACAGAAGTTTTTCTATTATCTCAGCAACTTTAAAACTATTGGTTTATTTGAAAGGTTTAAGCATAACATCATGCCACAGTATTTTATTTTGAATTTAATATGCTTAAAACACAATTTAAAATCTTTTCTTAATCTGTTTATTTGCGCGGACGGTTGCACCACCTGACATTTTGGGAGTTTTAGATGCCAAAACATAAAATATTAACATTATAATGTTGTGAAAATGTATTCACACAAAATGCGTTTTGTAGAATAAAGTAATATATGTCGTGAATTGATTAAAATTACTTTAACAGAAAAGAATTCACTCGGACACAAAAATATGCATCATGTCATTGACTCTAAGAAATGGACACAGTAAAAAGTATGCAAGGCACTTAAAGGTGGGTAGGTAACAGTGGAGAATCTAGCAAGTGAGCGCTAGAATTTGAAAGCATCCAGCCTAAAAAATTTTACCCCCTCCCATCAGACCTCCCTCACAAGCCAGTCCCCCAGAAGCCAGTCTACCTGCATTCCTTTCATTCTGTCCAAAACAAATGACTGACCTGCTTATTACAGGCCTGCCACAGACACCAGATCTTTCTAATTTTTGTGCCAGAGCATTTGATTTATTGATTGCTGTCGGGATGTAAGGAGAATGACAACGAATTTAACAAAAACATCTTCTGAAATAAATGACACAGTTCTCACGTAAGGCTGCCCAATTGGAAGCCCTAACCACTACCACCAAAAGCTTTCATATCAGATTTACTGTTTAACAGTGTAATTTGTCACAAAGTTCTTTACATGGTAACAAAACAAACACAGGCCTACGTGCATGTGTTTGACACTTTTAACAAACAAGATAGGCAGGGCAACTGCATGGTAGGCCTACTGGAACGAGCTGTGGATGATAGGGAGAGATGACCGCTGGTTAGGCGGATCAAAGGCTGCATTAAATTAACAGGTCCAGAGTCTGGGCTAAAACCCTGACACATTATTTGACTCCCTGATGTGGGCAAAAACTGAATAGATGAAGGCGTAGGAGCGGGCTCTCCGCCCAGCTGTTCATCTTAAACTCACGGCATAACACAAAACCTCACATCCTGTCAGCACAGTAGAGTATTTATATGGAGGAAGGAAATCAGTGAGGTTACTGTAGGACAAGGCTGTTTAATCTTTTGTGAATGTGGGGGTTAAGGTAAGGTTTTTAATTGAAACATTTCCTCGTAATGTCGTGAGACATACTGGGCTATAGGTCTACTAATGTGAGCAAGTGTCACTATTTTCCATATATAGCAATAAAGCAAATAGATTAGTCCATATCTACTGATTTGAATGTGGATGGTTCCTTTTACTGGAAGTGATAATGTTTTATGACTGACAAATAACTAGTGACTCAATGCTAACAGACCTTTACGTTACACGAATATCATCACGTTTTCTGGTGCAGCCAGGGATACTGTCAAAGATAAATTCTGATCCAGATGTAAACTAATTGGTTGCCCCTCCATAAAAATTTAAAACCCAGGACTGGAACTAGGAATTAAATGATTCAGTGTTTCCCATTAATGAATGAGACCATGGCGGCCCGCTAGTCTAATTTGTTCTGCCATAGTTTCAAAATGACCCGAAAATATTTTTATTTCCACATATCCACATACAACATAATAGTCTGTTATAATCCTGTGGGGAACACTGTGATTACTCAATGAATTGATAAGCAGATACACAGAAAATTGACCCTCAACTAGTGTCATTATCAATTAATCATTTAAAATCAGTCATTTTTTCAAGCAGAAATACTAAATATTCGACACATTGCAGCTTCTAAGCTGTGAGGATTTGCTTACGTTAAACTAAATAGATCACGTTGGGGTTTTAGACTGCTGATCAGACAAAACAAGCTACTTGAAGACATCAGCTTGGGTTTTTGGAAATCGTAGCAGGCACCATTTTACACGTTATTTTGTAATCATGGGACTAAAGCATTAGGGAGAATAGAAAAGACTACAATATGAACATGTCAAAATCCAATCCAAAAAGTAAAAAAGTGTACAATAACAATAAACAATATTGTCTTCAGTAGGACCTTGGCATTTATTTGGGACTGTACATAATATCAGGGTGGTGCAGCACTCATCTGGCTAACCCATAAAATGGTTTTAAAAACAAGTTACTACTGTGGGTAACACTGCGCTTGAAAATGTTAAGGTATAATAATCTGTATACTGTTGAGATGAGCCTGGGGACACAATGACTATAACCAGGTGTGTGCTTGTTTGAGTGTGTGTGCGTGTGTGTGTCATAGCCTCCGGTCAGCAGCAAACCTCACTTCTGAGTAGCGTGGGGTCTAATTGCAGTCTTACAGTAGGCATGTAAAAGGTACCTGTCCATCTCTGTTGAACTTCACAACACAGTCTGTTCAGACCATAACCTGGTTAATCACAAGATTAGAAGTCTACTCAAGGTCAAAGGTCAAAGACTACAAAAGCTGCTGGTAAATCACTTCTTGGCTATACAGTGTAGTTACAGCCCAGTTAGGTCAAATGGCAGACAGTTTCAGTGGAGTCTTATTTTCTACACATTTAACGTTAGATGCAGTTTTAACTACCACCAGCCAATGTGTATTTTGGTTCAAATAAATTTAAGGCGCTAACTGGAATGCTGAACTGAACTATGGTTAGCAATGAATCGTTTAAAGTCCTCAGAGGCGTGAGTGTCTGACAGCAAGCAGGACAACCATAAAACTGCAGTTTTGTTAGTGGAGTGTTGCGTGACATTCAGAAGAGAGTGAGCTCTCACGCTCACATCTGTCACACACGCATCGTCCCCCGTCACCGTGTTTACCTTGGAGCTGTGCCGAGAGCGACTCTTGATGTTGCTGATACTTGAGTGCCATTGCCTCCGTCCTCTTGAGCTGCTTGTGCATCTCGTACGATATCATCCCCGCGTACATCATCCCGCAGACCACGGTGACCAGCAGGAGACACTGGAAGATCCTCCGCTGCCTCCGGGAGCACACCCCGCTTCCCATGTTGGACCCGCACCCCTCCCCGCTGTCTACGTGAAAACGCCCCGTCTCTGCTGCTGGAAACTTCCGACTCAACTTTTTACCTCCTGGTGAAGACTGAAGAAACACCCCCACCCTTCCCCTTAGTCCCCGCACATTTCCAAGCAGAAAAGACGAGTTAAGTGTGAATATGTCCCGACGGATACATTATTTTAGCATAGCCACATCCACTCACGACCCCCTCCTCCTCCTCCTCCTCCTCCTCCTCCTGCTCCTCCTCTGACTTCAAAGTGGCCGCTCAGATTTTTCTCTTGACTTCACGTCCAACTCCTGCTTTGAGCTGCTGAAATGCAAGACTAACCGAGGCTGACGACTCCCGCTTGCGTCTCCGTTCTCCCCGTGCAGACTTTCCCGACGCAGTTTACAGACGCTCATGTGTAAAGTAAAACCTCAAGTGCCCGACGAGGCCTCCGTAGCACCTTTAACTTTAGTAACGTGTCAGCCCCAGCAGCTGCCTGCCATCCAACTGCTACTCCGAAGGAAGTCCCTCCTCCGAAAGATCACAAATTTCCCTATCCCCGCCCCCCAGAGGAGTGCATTTCATCAATTGGGTGCCAGAGAGCTCGATCAAAAAGTGGCCAGGCATGTGAGGGTGGGATAGTTCGGAGACTTGTAGTTCCCCCATTACAAAGACTTCTTGTAATCCTATGATAACATCTAAGGACACTGTGTATGTGGTTTGCAATCAAAGGCTAAGCTACTATTATTACAGACATGAAAAGGTTTTGTTAAATATAGCATGTCACCCTGCAGTAGCTTTGAGTCTATACTACAGTGATTTCAAACCCACCAACAAATCTAAAAATAAACTGTAATTTATTGTGATAATTATTGCTGTGTAAATTGTAGTGAAATGTAATGCACATGGTATTATGAAGAAAGTAAAGTAACTATACAATCCGGCACAAGGCATTTATGTAGTTTACAAGTAACAATTCCCAAAACAAAAGTTTTAAAACATTTGCAAAACAATCATCTATAATATCTATACGATAAAGAAACCTACTAACATGTTTAGTGCATTTTCATTTTCAGGGGGGAAAGTGTAAAAACAGTAGTATTATTGTTGTCAAACTGTGCAGAGGACACTTGCAGTATGCACATTTGAGGTGTAATTTATTAATTTTAGCTGCGTGAAAGTTGCATCTCATGCCACGATAGAACAGAGCCTACATTCATAACATGACACTTGATTTAATATCCATACAAAATCATTTATTTTGCTCTTTAAAGACATTCACTCTCAAGACATGTCTGTTTCTTCAAAACAACATAGACAAATATCGGAAGATTCACTGTGTATTGCAGTTTATTCAAGTTTTGTACAGTATACAGTAAGTATCATACACAGAGTGGTTTTACATACACAATAGAATTGGCCATGAACAGTTAAATGCATATGGGGAAAAAAACCCGTTGTACTTACATATAAATACATCTTAGCAATACAGCATCACCATTAAGATAAAAACTACAGTCTTATAAATACTAAATTTTCTACATACAGTAGAAATACTATATATACAATAAATATATACTTTTTGTGCTAGATTGAAAAAGTATATCAGACTCATTTAGAAATAACTGAGAAGTGATCAAAGTATGAATCGTGCAATACAAAAATAATTTGCAAATACTTAAAAAAGTTTTAAAATGTACTCTAAGTGCATATATTTGCAAATAAATTCCCTTTGCAGTAACTAACGTCAGAACAAATCCCGTATCTACATATACCACATTATTGCATCCCCTGACTGGCTAAGAATAGTCACGTTGTTCATAGACAAGGAATGACCAACACATACTCCTTCACATTTATTTTCCGAAACATAGATGTTGAGATGCTACAAAATATGCTTGATTAATTTTTACTCAGTGTAGAGATAGACATGTTTCCACACATGAAGCGTTGCGCTCCAAATTCCACAGGCACACTGGGAGAAATGAATCATATCCACACTATAACGAGGTAGAGAAATCTGCAGATCTCTGCAACTACAGTACTTATAATCATAATAGTTATTATGCAGATGACCGGGTTAAACACTGACAGCAGCACATACATAATGTGTAACAACATTTAGCACAACATAGAGCTGTTAGTTTTGCTAATGATCTAAATTAATATCCGCTAACTCAAACTGCTCATCTAGCTCATCAATAAGACTGCTTGTTCTGTTGTTTTTCCTCTCCTTAGTTATGTTGTATTTGTTTTGTGTTACTCTGTGAGTGACTGGAATGAAGCTATGAAGGGAAAAATGCTTTCAAAATAAATTTGACTTGACAAGAGCATCTTTGTTCTAAACCTGAACCTCATTACCCCATCAATGTTTCTATTCTCAGATCTATCTTAAAATACACTATCGAATGGTCATGTCTTCTTAAACATATGTCTTTGAATGCCATGAAGACATTACAAAATAGGACGCCATTACATTACTACTCACAACACTTAACAGAGGCAGATCATATTTTAAGAAGAGGGGGTAGCATAGAGAAAAGGTCCCACTACAGTTTCTAAGAAAACAGCGCCTTACGTAAACCAGTCAATAGTTTAAAAATTTAACTTTGTTTAATTTTAAAAATAATTTAGTTATGAAATCAATATATATAGCGCATTTATATTAAGACCGTGTTTAGTTTAAAAAAGGCACAAACAATGTGTTCCTGAAGGAGAGCTGAGAATTTGGACCAAGACAGCAGAAAAAAGCAACATCTCTTTGAAATGGAAATGAGGCTGTCACACGCCTGTAGTCAAATTAATATCTTTCAGGTGGAAGGATGGCCCCTGCAGACGTTCACATCCTGTGAAATAAGAGTCTAGTATTTTGCTCATGACAATTTCCTATAAGCCAACTTCACATGGAAACATCTGTGGTGGTTCCTCTATTACAGTGCTCACACAGACTCCGTATATTATGGCACTCACACATCAAATCAGGCAGGAAAAATAAAAAAAACAAGCCCATACCATGCATCCTGGCTTACTACTGCAATCCAAAGTATCTACCCTGTCAAAAATGTGTAAATATAACAGGCACTTCATTCTTTCTTAACACTTGCATTTGTGAAAAGACATCTGGCATTAAGCTTCCTCCTCTGGGTGTGTACGGTCTCCAATGGCAAATAAAACTACATTTACTCCGTCTAAAACTAAATCAAGCAATCCCAGTAGAAACATTTATCGAAAACGACAGTACTCATAACCAGATAAAGACTTCAGTGATGCCAACTTGGCTGCCTAGAGAGATATAGACAGACATGTTTTTTTAATTTAACTTTCTCCAGTGTTGAAAATGGATTAACCAGATGTTTTCTGTGGCTCTTCCTTTATTTCAATGGTAAACAACATTAGAGTTGATCATGGTTTTTGTCCTCTTAACAGCAGAAGAATGAGACTCTAAAGGTGCACAGGAACCTTCTCCAATGCTTCTGCAATATCTCCGTTCTGTAAAGTTGTTATGAGTAAATCAGTGAACGCTGGGAACACACAGGATGATCAAAAACAAACCGTAGACTGACCAGGGCGTTCTTGACTCCATGTTGTGTCCACTCTGTGTCCTATAAGCCCGACAGTTCCACTTCCTCACACAGCAGGGGCTCCACTTCTGGGACACTGAGTAGTGAGCTGCTTTTAGGAGACTTGTTTTTCCTGTACATGATAAACTGGGCAGTCACCTGACTAGGTTAAGGCTCATACCAGCATCCTTTGCACTGTACTCCATCACACTGTGTACATGTGTACATGAATGCTTGTATGTGTATGTGCACCTGTATATCACACCCACCTCTGACATGTACATAATAACAACAATAATGGTAATAATATTTTTTTAATAATTTACTCCTGCATCCTTTGCACTCTGCTCATTGCACTATTGTCTCAATCTGTCTATTTTGTTTTTGTTTATAGTGTGTATATACGTGTTCTCTATACTGTAGCCCTTGTTTGATTTTATTACTATATTATTGTGTTATTGTATTATTGTATAAGCAAGCACATCGTGAGCATTTACAATTCAGAGTCAAATTCCTCGTACGTGTACACACACCTGGCAATAAAGCTGATTCTGATACAGCTCACCAATAGTACACTCTCATCAGGCAACTCCTGAATCACTCTGTATGTATATATAAATACATACAGAGTGATTATTCCTATATATATGTGTGTGTGTGACATGTTCAATAAGTTAACATCAATAAGTTTACATTATAATACTGTATGTGCTAGGATATGATCGAGATATTTACTGTATGCCTGGATATGGTTCCAAGTGATAGATGTGAACAAGTCTTAAACAGATATGATATGACAGCCTTTGTGCAGTCAACTTGTGAATGAACTTTTGTTTTAAAGGATACAAAGAAGTCAAGTATGAGGACTCCCAGGCTGCCAATGAGCCAGGCCAGATGTTTGATGATGAAGGTCTGTTTGGAGCCCCTCAGTGCAGGCAGGATCACCATGACGCTCAACCCATACGTGCCATTGCCCATCATGGCCAGGGCAAACAGCATGTAGGAGGTGCCCTCCGTAGACTGCCGCTGGAACTAGAATGGATAGTTTACAACATTTCATTAATAGGATACATGAAGGTCCATCCATCCATCCATCGTCAACTGCTTATCCTGCGTACAGGGTCGCGGGGGGCTGGAGCCAATCCCAGCTGACTTTGGGAAAAGCGAAAGGCGGTCGCACAAATTGTCTATGTGTGGCCCTGTGACACTCCAAGGACAATTTAGGGTCACCAATCAACCTAGTCCGCATGCAAAGTCCACAAAGAAAGGCCCCAACCCACAACCTTCTGTGAGGCGACAGTGCTAACCACTGCACCACCACGCCGCCCATATGGACATGAAGGTAATATTTGTAATGGCAGAAAATCGTTTCTCCCTACATATAATCTTTTTATTATTATTATTATTATAATTATTATTAGTAGTACTGTTTATACATATATATATATATATATATTTATATATATAGATATGTTTTACTGGAGCTTTACATCCTGTTAAATTTGCTTTCTTTGTACTTCTGCTCCAAACATACAGACAACAAGGATAAAACTGGTGTTATTTTATCTTTTTTATTACTATAAACAAATCCTTTGAAGGGATAATAACAGACAATGACAAGACAATTCATTCTTTCTAACAAGCACTGTATTGTCTGTGTCATGGCAGATTACACAGTAAATCACCTCAAAGCAGATTCAAGTTTCCAGTGACCAGCATCCACCTAACATTGTTAAACGAAAGAAACATTTTCACCTTGACTGACTAATGGCGTTGTATAGCCTGTTGTGGCAACTCGCATGGCAACACGATGTTAATGCCCTGTAGATTACAACACGTGCTGGACCCAAACAACACCAGGCAACCAGCGAGTGTTTGCCATAGCAATACTGAGATTAATCATAAATAACAGACACAATTTCTTTTGTTATTTTTGGTTTCACCAAACTGGATCAGCCACTTTGCCACTAAAAGTGATATGTGATATGAAAATTTTCTGGGATTTCTGCAGAAAAACCAAGCACGTTGGAACACGAACGGAACTTCCACGGGGCAAATCTGACTTTTTACAATTTCCAATAGTAAGGGAGTATGTGTTTGTGTGCCCAGACGTTTTTCTGGCAGTGGCAGTGAACTGAGACGATCCCCTCTGGTGATTAATAGCTGCAGTCGAGCCAGGATGTTTCCCAAGCACAACAGCATCATTGTCTTCAACGTCTGGTTCTCATTTTGACACACATAACTGTATACACAAACACACAAATCCCACCCCCCGTCTTCAAACACACACAGTCCCCCTGTTTATGACTAACGGACATATGATAAGTACAGTTTTCCATCAGACCCTGAGAACGCCAAGGTCTACCTCCAGGATGGCACTGCTCACATGCAAACCACGTTACTGTGAAAAAAGGAAAGTCCACATCTCAACTTAATCACACCAACAAACGGTCACTTACATTTTTATAGAGCTGGGGGAAACGGGAGGAGAGGTAGAAGATAGATGCCATGTAGCCACATACATAGCCAGTGATTTCCTCTGATTTTGAGGTAGCTGGACTCTGGTAAAGATGAGGACACAAAGAGAGGAGAAATGGTCAATACAGCGGCAACTACAAAAGAAACAGTACAAACAATCTCCAGTCCAAAGTGAATTAACGTGTATCCAACAAACCTGAAAATATCAGGGCAATAAACAACACAAAGTTGCTTTAAGAACCCTTAAATCTAACGCCTGCACACATAATCACATGGATGCAAATATATACAGTGCACTGGACACAATCTACATACCTGGGTGTCTAAAGTTGTACTATTGTCTATGATGAGTTTGGGTAAAGCCAGGAGAACTAATGTAGCAGCGCCACACCACATGAAGCACAGCCACTTCAACACAGGGCTTTCTAGAGCACTCACGCAAAAAAACAAGAAAAGAAATGAGAGTGAAGACACAAACAAACAAACAATCCCCCCAAATCACGCATCTTTGCATTAGCTGACGCTCCTATACATAGTGTCATAGTGTATACTGTTTTTACACGAGAGGAGCAAAAGACACTTATTCTGTTTTTTTCATATCAGTGACATTACAAGTAGCCAGTAACAAGTGTCAGTATGATTATGTGTCATTAGGCAGTTATGCACTTTTGGCTTTGGTGGTCACCACTCTTAAGTACAAACCAACTGGACTTGCCTCTATCGTCAATGAAGTCAGCAGGTGGCTGGACCTCATAACAACACAGGTTTTTCCAATCATAAAGTAAAACATCTACACCAGCTTTTTGGAAGTCTATTAGTAAGCCGTTGCCCATTAATACGAGTCTTGGAATATAAGTAAATAAACTTAATCTCAGTATCTCTGGGAGATAGCTCTGTCCAGTGGGAATGCTTACACATGATGTTTAGTAACTGTGTTTAATAGTGATCGACTGATTAATCGGCCAGTTTATAATGTCTGCAGGCACGTCTGCAGGCTGCATTGTCAGTGTAGCTGCTGTGGAACGACGTTAGCACTCCCATGTGCAAGTTTTGGGAGTTTGGAGCCCTAAATGTCCTCAGTCACCATCGTCTTTTCTAAATGTTAACGCGTTTCTCCCATCCTTAATGACAGCTAATCTAATCTAAAACCATTACTAGCTAAAAGTTAATATTGTTGTACTGCAGAGAATAATGCAGTTAAATGATGTCACGTCTGACAAACTGTACCCCACTCTCCCTTAAACACCAGACACGTCTTGAAATCTACATCATAACCGGATGTATTTTTTGGTTGACCGCTGGTGTTTAATAACTTAAGATGATTATCCTACTAACAAAAGAGAGCTCATTCCTGCCATCACAACAACAATCCTATAGACTCATAATCAAGTATGTATGTCCTCTTGAGTATTAGTGATATTAGCAGGTTTGCATTTATAGATATGTTGTGTGTAGTCTATATAGCTGTATTTAGACATGCAGATTGCAATTTAATTAAAGTTCATCACTAATAAACTTGTAAATCTAATAGCTGACAAGGTATAACTTTCACTATATGATGTCATGCAGTTAAAATTAAACAGTCAACAGCAGGAAATATGGCATTCCTCCTAGTTAAGCTTTTCATTAATCTGCAGGGTCATGATATGGGTGAGTCACACAGCACGGCCATCACTCCCCAGCTCCATTTTATCCCAGTAGCAGAGATAATGTCAGGGCTTACTTCTGCTGGAGCTGTTTTTGATTTTATAGTAGAGAAACTGGGAGATGAGGATCAGGTCTGTGAAGATGTAGAACACCACTGTGACTACCTGAGAGAGGGACATGGGAAGAAGAAATTTTACAATGTAGCAATAACATTTGATTATGCAACTTAACTCACAACAATTTGTTGTTATGAGTTGATGAGTTCATAGTGTTTAGTGGCTCACTCCATACAGACAGCGCTAGGAAATAGGAGGGTACAATGAGAACACCCTTTAAACGATTGTGATTGGTAATACTGTTGAGATGGGGTCATCTTCAATTCAACAAAGTCTGAGCACAGCTCGTCTGAAATGTAATAACTCACCAATTACAGGGACAAGAAAGCAAATCACCGTTGGTCAAACTAAATATACATGACCACAACTTAGATCTGAGAGGGACTAACAACACAAGGATGGAGTTCATAGTACAGATTTATAAACTCCAAGGTCTCATCAGCGCAAAATGAGTGAGGCTAGGCAGTTACATGTCTGAGTGACTACAGGTCCTATTGTAACGTGGTCATGGGTCACATCTCTCCCCTACAGTGGATACTTTATTTTGTGTTTTATTCCCATATGAGTGTTTTCTTTAATGGTTTACTTTCATGATTAGAGAGGCTACTGTCCATCATTTTAAACATTTCCGTGGGCGCAGTAAGTGTATTGTCATGACAGGACAGAGGAAACTCTCCAGAGGGAATCGATTTCAACTTTTAGCTTCTGAAATAATTGAGACGCTCTGATGGAGCCCTTGATTGATCAGGAAGACAGCTGGTTTACTCCAAACAGTTTCATTGTATGAACTTGGACTGCTTGTGAGACTGTTTGGATGTGTAGAAGAAGGGAGGGTGTGAATTAACATTAGATTCTGATCAATCTGATGCTGATCCTGTGCGCATAAATGCACACAGCATCTCTCTTACCACAGGAGTAATGCGCCCATAAAATAACAAAAAACAGTGAAATGCTGCACTGTTGACTTAAGACCTGCTTTTTGGTCAGTTGCGCAATCGCTTTTTGTTGCCTAAAGATAGAAATCCTAAACCCTAACAATTTGCCTGACCACACCTCATTTTAAGACTAACAAGCGCATTTGCTATTTTAAAGAACGTGTGCGCTTGGTGTGAAAATGACAATTGCGTTGGTTAGAAACAAGCAATGACACTTGAAAGATAGGGCTGTGTGTTCACCTGAATGGGCAGTTGGCCGGTGAGATAGCAGCCTGCAAAGTTGGTCAGGTCTCCACTGAAGAGGAAGAAAAGAAAGCCAAATGACATGGCCTCCTCCACTTTACCATTCCGATAGGCCACATAGACCTGCCTAGATAGACAGATATGTAGATAGATAGATAAAACTAGGATAAGATAACATGAATTTCATCACCACAAAAGCACAGTTTTATGACTGAGAACTGATTGCCACCTCACAAGGCAATACTTGACTATTCTAAGACTGGTACTCATCTCAATGGCTATATGACTTACGGCAAAGTGGAGAGCAGGAAACAGAACATTGATACGAGTCCTATCACCACGCTGCAGTACTCCCACACGTTATCCACACACTCCTCCAGCAGGTACAGGATCCACGGCGTCCCGTTGACGCACACCGGCCGGCCCGGCGCTGGAGCTGTCCAGTTGGCGGCTGCCACGTCCACACTCTTCCCGGGGAAGCGCGCAGTGGCCATGGCGCGACGCTGGCTCTGTCCGCCGCCTGCAGGGTCTGCTGCTACCGCTGCCTCCAAAGTGTAAATAGACGTGTGTTTGTTCCGGGGAAACACAACCCAACCCTGGTGTAAGCAGGTCTACCAAGACTACCTACCTCATAAAACAGTCTTGTGAAGTGAAGTGTGAAGTCTTGTTCTGTCATTTGACGAGTCTGCAGGAGGAACATCAGTCAAACATGGACAGTGTTGTCAAGTAAATATCTAAACACGTAAGTTAACTATAGTGAACAAGTGAGAAGCGTTACTGCTGCTTTAGAGTTAATCCAAAATTAGTAATTACGCCTTAATGTCGGGGAATCCTAACATATTGGTGATGTTTGATAATTAGGACACTCTTTTTATTCTAAAATAAATACCGGCGTGCTAACTTTAGCTTTATATGCATTAACGTTAGCGGCAGACATTTGCATAGACTTGAGGATCAGATGCTAACGAACAAATATGGCTAAAATTATCTTCCAGTAACCGCTCACCTGACAAAATGGATTCGGTTCCGACTGCTGAGTGTTTGTTGGGCTGTTTAAACTTTACCCACATCCTCACACGTCTCTGTAAACGATGTGCATAGTCTTTAAAGAGCATTACAGATTAGCTCCTACTGTTACAGTCGATCTTTGATTTCCCCAAAGTGTCAAGACCACATCACAACTTCCTGTGAGAATCTTTTCAAAATAATATCCTTAAGGACAAATATTTCTGTAGTTTAACATGCTGGTTAGCGAAATGTATAATAAGGAGCATATCCCATGTGTCGTTTGGAATATGTTTAATTTACACACAGTCCTAGATACATGTAGCCACATTGACTGATTTGTATGATATTCCATGGAGTAGCTCACCACAAGCAGTTTTGCCACATATATAGTGAAAAATAGAGATTTACAAGGTAGATATCCTTTAAAGTTGTCTGTATGGTTTTGCAATGGCTTGTACCATTAAAATTGCCTGGAGCCATTTTAGAATATGCTTTATGGCAACTTACTTACTTTTACATATTTAACTTAGTTTAGTCTAATAATTCCCTCATTCGCACATTCAGTATAGGTTTTTATTTGCTAATGTGTGCCTGTGACAGCCTCACGCCAGTAGCCCCCACCCCGCCTCCTTTTTATACTGAATGCTTAAAGCTGTCAAAGCCTGCTCTTTTATTTTGAAGGCAGAAGTGGACGCGCCGGAAACTGGACTCTATTTTTCCAGCTTCACTCCCGACGGATGATGCCTGGGGAAATTAGCAAAATAAATAAATAAAATTAAGTCATGCCAGTAAACACTTTAAGTAGGCTACACCACAAATTATGGTGGAAACATACATCTCTTAGAGCCCTCAGACTTTTCCCTTCATTATTTTATCATATTATTGTAGACCTATTATTTAAACAAGACTACTACTGATTATCATTGGATTTTTCTTTCAGACATAAACATCCAGTCCATTGCAGACCAGGTGTTAGTCATCCGTCTGCTTTCTTTGAATAATCACTACTACAACTGATAGTAAAATAGTAACAATAATATTGACAATTCTTCAATTGTCTTCAACCAAGTCCAGTTGCCCTTGATTTTAACCTTCCTTGGATATGTTTAAGACACACTGTGTTTTTTTTTTGTTTTTTTTTTTAGGGGGGGGTTGCTGAGTCAATAGCTGATAAATGTAATAGGGCCTATGTTGAGTTTTAAAAAGTTTAAACAAACTTAATGTACTCCAGTGTTTCAGTGCTTTCCTTCAAATGTAAACCTGCAGGAATTTAGGCCAAACGATTGCATTAGAATGTTGATTAAACCATTGTTTGTATCCTCTTTGTAATGTAAAGAAGACGGACACCTCTTTGTTTAGTGCCAGAAGGACAGTTTTTTGACTGTTTCATTGACACTTAAGATAGGGTGTCAACCATTTTGTAGACAAGCCCTGTTGTTCTCCATGATTAGTTTAGAGCAAAAGACTGTTTATTCCTGTAGATTGAAGGGGGTTTCACGTCTGGGAATTGGCGCTCTTTTGTTCGACCAAAAGTAACATAGAGCAGTAAGGTACACCCTTCCTAATTGGGTGACGAAGAAGTGACCAAACGACCAATGGCTATGGTCCTGGGCCATTTGGAGGAAAAGACCCGCCTACATACCTGGAGGATATTAACAATTCATTTTGCGAGAATCAGGACTGTAAGCTGTAAATCTGAAAGGAGGAACAACTTTCCAGTCCACTGCAGTGTTTTTGTTTTGTTGTTTGTTCTTTAATGCCATCTTTTATTCACCTATTTTTTATTAAATTTTCTTGTTAATTTCATCGGATCCTGCTTCTGAAAAAAACGCAACACCTATCTTATATATAAATAGCTAGTTGCTTGCGGGTAGCCTCATTATGGCACAGCAAACATTAAACAGTTAGGCCTATGTCTGAGCTGCGGGAAGGGATTAGGGATAGCTTTGGTTTGGAATGCAGCCATAAAGCCATTAGGCCTCATTCACCTCTCTCTCTCGCTCTCTCTCTCTCTCTCTCTCTCTCTCTTTCTCTCTCTCTTTCGCACTCTCTCTCTCTAAATCCCCTCTGTGGTACCATGCTGCCTTTAAGAGCTCATTTTAAACGCCCAACATGATTACATCATAATTTCAAGTAGCCTATGAGTTGGCAAAAACATGTAGGCCTACAACAGTTACAAGTCAGTTAACATAGATCTGCTGCAACGGGAGAGTTACAGAAGCTGAAAACATGGGAATGATGCTTTTCAAAGATACAATTTTGTGAAAGTTATGCTAAATGTTTCACAAAGAACAATAATAACAATAAGCCTACTAACCGAATGCCAGATGAAAATATATAAAATGTGGGAGATGCCTATATGATGACTTTTAGGGCTTCTATGCAGCCTAAACCATCAAAAACAGCTCAGTGGAGAGAGAATTTTCCTAAGGTTTAGGCTATTTAGTCTAGGCCTATCCTATATCATCATATAAATAAAGGCCTTACGACTGAAAGAAGTCCCTAGTCTACATGATTTAATTTGCAGTGACACCTGATGAATAAATGAATGATGAATGGGTGCTACTCGTAACCAACAGAGAAAAGGCCAGTTTTAACTTCTTCGTTTGGTCACAAATCTCATGATTCTTGCAGGTGCCTATTTCCCGATTGTACTTGAAGGCACCACGCCAACCTGTCTCTCCCTCCATCCACCTGTTGCGCCGCTGCTTTCGTCGGCCACACGATGGCGTGCTTTCCAATGTTGGCCGGATGGAGGATGAATATAAGGCTTGCTCTGTCGGGGGACTTGAAGCTGTGCAGTAATAGCCTATTCGTTGCTATGTGCCGCTTTGGACCGAGGGTTGGAGGCACAGCACGAAGCTCCACATCCAGTGTCCGTGCGTCTTCGTCCTGCACGGAGCAGGTAAGCTGTCCGATGCTGTAGGTTTTAGGAATCGCTTTTTTTTTCTTGCTGCACGGCATTCTGTCTTTATAGAGGCAGAAACGCGTTGCCGGGCTAAATGCATGAATGCCACCCACATTCCTTGATGTCGGGAAAGTTGACTGGATGAGGTGAAATCGGCGGTCAAAGCACCGACGTGCCTCAGTCTTGAAATCTACAGCCTGATCGTGCATTAAATACCTTTTACTCTGAAAATGTAAATAGAAATCCACAGGAGAGCTCGCGCAGGTGGATTGGTGTTAACGTGGGCTGTTGCCATAAGCACTGAATGTAATAGGCTATAGGACTAAATAGGCTAGGCTACTTGTTAGTTATTGCATTTGCTGACAGTGTAATTGCAGGGTGCACTACTGCCCTTATAGAAATAGTTCAACAGTAGAGGTGCGGTACAATCACACATGTCACATTATATGGAATATTTTAGGTTTTGGTGAAAACGTCTTTGAATCATAGGGTATGTATTTTACACATCCCCCACACCCCTTCCCACAGTACAGAGGAACAGAGGAATGTGTTTTGAGACCTTGAAAGGCAAGTTCAGTCGCATTACTCACATTTAGTGTTCATTTCTTTTCTTAATGAAATCTACTGTTGCTCCGCCCCTGTGTGTGTGTGTGTGTGTGTGTGTGTGTGTGTATGTGGGATGGGGTGGGGGTGGGGGTGGGGGGGGCACTCCTCAAGGTCACTGACTTATGAGATAGACAGATGTTGATGAAATTATCGGGATTGTCCCGAACTTGAACTAACTAATAATCTAATCACTAAACTTTGTTTGGTAGATTATTTATTTGTTGTAATAATGCTTCTTGCAAATAAATGTTATACCACTGAAAGCCTGCTTATGTCTGCCTAAAAAATATTCTCTGCCAATGCCAAACAGCTTTTCTTTGCTTTTGACTCTTGTATGCTGGATTTAATGATTGAAGTCTGAAGAAACTAGATATATTGGCAATAACAAACAGGAGAGTCAGTAGCATGTGGCAGAACCATACACAGCCACAACAGCCTGGTCACACACTGCTGTGGGACGGCATCCCATTCTTCAACTGGCATTTGTCGCAAGTATAGAAATAAGAAATAATTATTATAATAATTCTACCAAAATTCAAAATTTGGTAGGAATAATCTACCAAACACAATTTTTCTCACTTTTTGTGCATAGTTTATATTGTTTGCTTTATTTCTATAAAAGGACTTTCCTGTAACCTCCATTGTCACCTCCATTCAAATAGCAGCCTGCACTTCATTCATTCATTCATTCATTAGGGGTGGTGATGGCTCATTGATAAGATGCTTGCCTTTGGTGTGGGAGACCTGGTTTCAATTCCTACTGTGAGACATCCACAATTGTGTCCCTAAGCCAGACACTTAATCCCTAGTTGCTCCAGAGGCGTGCGACCTCTGAGATGTATAGCAATTGTAAGTCGCTTTGGATAAAAGCGTCAGCTAAATGAATAAATGTAAATTTGTTGTTTGTCCATTCCTCATGTTCTAGGTAGAAGCTGCCAGTTTTTCAGGGCAGGACAGATAAATGAAAACACACTCTAGCACATCTCCACAAGACCTAAATCTATATCTTATTGCATTGTACTGGGTCAATTGGAGCAGACATTGATGTGCTTAACACTATATTGCAAGTATTTATTGGATGTATCATGGTACTTGTTGCATAGCTATGTTGACATACGTGTCTTATCATGGGGTGTTATCTTTCAGTATCTTTGCATTTACTTGTGCTGATGACATTTAGGTGATTTTCAGCTACCAAGAAAAATAAGTTTAAGTTAAATGTATTAGGGCAATATATCTCTATTATATACACCTGTGAAAGCTGTAATTAATTAGATTGAATCACCTATTCAACCCGCATACTCACTCTGGAAGCAGGAAATCTGAATAATAATAACATTTCTAAACTTAGAAACAAATTAAACATGTATTGAGGATATTTGAAAGCAGCTCACTATTAAGAACAAGGCCCTAACATTTTATGTGCTGAATTCATTCCTTTAAGCCTGCACTCCTGAGTCAGGCCTGCACGCTGAAAACAGAACATGCTTCCATTCAGCTCTCAGGGCGAGACTCCTGAGTTTGGGCCTTGGAAGGCAGCAGAGAGTAATGAATAATGGATGGTTTAGAGAAATGTGTATGAATGTTAGTTGGCTGAGTGTGGCGGTAATGCACTATTCCAACCAGCGCTTCTCCTCTCTGCTGTGGAAATCCTCTCAGCAGTTGTGAGTCTCACAGCACAGCAGAGCCAAAACTTGAGAGCAAAAAGGAACCCCCCCTTCCACACTTTAGGTTGGATTCGCTGCCATTTGACACAGTCCTGCCTGCAGAGACTCAGACACATCCACATGTATGGACACAAACACACAAAATGGAAAACGGAATGAGTGGAATCTTCTTCTTCTGGCTTCATTTAAAAAAAAATATTTATTCCTGTCTGAGACTCAAATTTGTTTCACCTTGGAATCCAGCACAGTGGGTCCCAAAAGATATTTTTGTGTGACCAATTTGGGTTAAAGCTGAGAGACTGGATAGTGTAGGATAGAAGAAAAACCTTCTGTTCTTAAGGATAAACCAAAGGAAGTGGAAACATTACCGAGCAAGGCAGGTCATTTTTATCCGCTATAATTTATGCTTAATAATGGAGCTGAAGTGATCGATTAGTCCATCACCATGATAAAGGCCACATGTGTACTGCAGATATCAGTCTGCGTGTGTCTGAACTGTTTTTGACGTATCTCTTTACTGCTCGGAACGTATCTGCTCTGAGTGGCATATTTATATGTCTTATTAGGTGTTCCTATGGTCTCTTATCAGGTCCACAGTGACCACTCTCAAGAGGGATAGTGAGATATTATGTCTGGTGCCTTCCCTTCATGCTCACTCTCTTTTTTCTCTCTGTGTCTCTCCATATTGCTCATTCTGTCTTTCTTTATCTCTCAGTGGCTTCGGTGTGTTTTACTTTTTCTCCAGCTCCTGGAACACAGTAATTCCCAATCGTTACTCCAGCTCCAGCTGTATAACTGCAGGGCATAAATGATAGAGGACTCTCCTTTTCTCTCTCTCTCTCTCTCTCTCTCTCTCTCTCTCTCTCTCTCTCTCACACACACACACACACACACACACACACACACACACACACATACAGTATGTTCCTAAGCTAAACCTCGGGGGTCCATCTTTCAAGAAGTCTTAACTGAGTTCTCTGCGCCAGTGTGGACTGATTTCCAAAGAAGTTTTCAGGGTGCCTCTTCCTTGTGACTTGTGTCTTACTTATTCATGAAATTCATGGCATCAGTTACATAACCTATTAGAATAATAATAACCCACGTAACCAGCCTTCCTTTAATCATACCATTAATATGGACAATGGCTTTCTGCTCAGGATATCACAGGAAGATATTTCAGGACCAAAACATGAGGTGTTACAGTATATTTTTCACTGATCGATGTATGGAGGTTGTTAAATGAAGTCGTTGCCAGAACACAAATACTAATCTTGGAGCACAATAGTGCACTGGGATGCTTAACAGGTTTTTCAACGAGTCCAGGTACGGTTCAGATGCAGGAAGGTCCAGTTAAACCACCAGATAGTTGATCAGATTAGAGCGGAAACAATTAGTTTGACTGACTGAAAGATTTTCGGCAGCTATTTTGACAATCAAGTAGAGCTGTAATGTTTAATGAATTAGTTGTCCACTAATAAATGAATCACCAACTAATTTTATAATCGATTAATTGATTTGAGTAATTCTTTAAGAAGAAAAGTCAAAATTATCTGACTCCAACATCTTAAATATGAATATTTGTTGGTTTATTTACTCCTCTGCAACAGTAAACTGAATTTCTTTGGGAATTACTGTGTTCCAGGAGCTGGAGAAAAAAACACACCGAAGCCACTGAGAGATAAAGAAAGACAGAATGAGCAATATGGAGAGACACAGAGAGAAAAAACAGAGAGTGAGCATGAAGGGAAGGCACCAGACATAATATCTCACTATCCCTCTTGAGGGTGGTCACTGTGGACCTGATAAGAGACCACAGGAACACCTAATAAGACATATAAATATGCCACTCAGAGCAGATACGTTCCAAGCAGTAAAGAGATATAAACTTCCTTTGGTTTATCCTTTCAAACCAAGCCATTTGAGAAAGTCATCTTGGGCTGTGACGTCATTTGCTGAAATTTTATAGACCAAACAACTAATTGAGAAAATAATTAACAGATTAATCAACAATGAACATTATTTCGTTATTTGCAGTCCTATAATCAAGTAATCGTTAAACTCCTTTTTTAAGCAAAAACAAATATTCTCTGGTTGAAGCTTCAATGTGAAGATTTGCTGGTTTTCTCTGAACTGAATATCTTTGGGGTTTGGATTTTTAGGTTGAACAAAACAAGACATTTGAAAACATTAAATTCAGATCTCATTTCTCAGGAGTTCCTCCCAACTTTCCCAAAGTCATACCAGTTGAGCCAACACACTCCAGCATGTAGTTCTGTGTCCACCAATTCTTATGAAGAAAGCTTATTTGTTGTACCATTTTAAAACACATGCTTCTTGTCTGCATATTATCAGAAATGAACAAAGCAAACATTGATTTTGTATATCAAATTTAGCATGCCATCTTTAGAACAGCTACACTGACAAGAGAGCAAAACACACACAGGAACCTGTAGCCCCAATAAGAGCAAATCTAATCAGTGAAAGTACTCTGGATGATGTATTTTCAAAGAGTTCCTGACTGCTAAACGACGGCCAGTTGGGAATATTTATCTTTGTCTTAATGGTGTGATATGAGGGACTTCAAACAGCTTTTTTGAAAAGCAGCTTTCCAACTGGGTTCAGGCTGCCTCTACTCCTAAGTCCCTCCTTCTTCTTCCCCCACTCTAAAAATACACATAATAATTATGTGCATAAATAAAGACTGAAAGAAAGAAAGATATAAGGCACTTCTTCCACATTCTGCTTTTTAATTCATACTCAGATATGAAGCATTAAAGTAGAGAAAACAGCGGAATGCAGGGCTTTTTTCTTCTCTTCTGTCTCCCCCTTTCACACAGCTCCTTTCTAAAGTATTTGTATGAGCGAGTGTGTGTGTGTGTGTGTGTGTGTGTGTGTGTGTATGTATGTGTGTGTGTGATGTCTTGCAGGCCGAGCAGGTGCACATTACACAGAAGGATAGGGCCGACTAAGCAGAGAGAGAGGGAGAGACCGGGGAGGTCTGTCTTATTGGTCATACAAAAGAGCCAGTGTTTTCTCTCTCTCTCTTTCTCTCTCTCCCTCTCTCATAGAGCTGAGTGAAGACAGTAGTGGCAGTGGTGGAGGAAAGAAAGAGAGAGAGGCCCTTTCGGTCATATTGTCCTTACATAGCCCCTAACCCTCTCACCCGTCACCCCACACCCATTCACCCCCTCACAGCTCTTACATTCAAGTGAATTTCATTGGAACAAATTATGTTGTCAAAGGATTTGCAAAAACATAAAAGACAAGAAACCAACAACAAGAACAGAGCATTTTAGATTAAAGTATAAATCATAAAACACAGGTGAAGACAAGCTACTGCTGCTGTCCTTTACTCTGTGTGTGTTTAAAGGCTGCATTCCTGCGCTTGCTGAGCCGTAGCTGGGCGATTAATAGTAACTAGCTGATTGTTTAAGAAGTGAAATTCCTCAGGCCCATTTTTTCCTCTGCTCTTACACACACATACGCGCACACTGGCGCTCAGTCACTCAGGCGGGCTGTGACATAGCGAAAGCAGGAAGGGATACAGTAAATAAACATAGCAGTTCACTTGTGAGGAGAGAGAGGATGGCATGTGTATATATTATTACACTGTATGAGCAAGTGTTTGTGTGTACGTATGAGAGTTTTTGGTGAGGCATTCAGGTTGAATAATGGACACTCAGTATGTGAATTGTCTGCAGGTTACACAGGGAATTCAGGACACTGAAACATTATCCACCTCTGGCTTTCTCTCTCCGGTCCTCTGTCTGCTCCTCTGTTACTCTCTTCCTTATCTTTCACTCTGAGTGTGTGTGTGTGTGTGTCTAACTCTCATTCCTCCTCTTCTCTTGGGGTTTCTTTTCTTGTTTTTTTTTTTTCTCTGTTATCTCTCACAGATCCTCTCCATCTCTCTCTCTAGTTGGTTTGATCGGCTGGACGTGCAGCCTCTCTTTTCCTCTGTTTGTGTGTCTTTAGTGTAGTTAAGTGACTTGTTTAAAATCCTTAATCATTTTATACTTGTGACTGTCATTTTTGGAGGTTTGCAACTCACCATTAAAGGAAATAACACTTACAGCAGTTATTTACAACAAGAAAAAAAAAAAAAAGATAACCTTGCATGTCCATAACAACAATAAAAATAACAATAGGCTACCAATCCACTACGATGGCTTCAACAGGTGGCATTTTATGCGAGGTATTGAATGAAGTACTCTATTGGTATCAGTATCATTTTAAGGGTACTGGTTTTGGTACTGATATCGTAAAATTTTAAATGATACCCAACCCTGACAGACATACGGTATATGTACAAAACATGATGCATGTAGTTGGTGACTGATACCTCTACAACACACACATAATGTACAAGAAATATCTCACATTGCTACTCTACACAACACAGATAATGGGTGGGTGTGTGTGTGTGTGTGTGTATGTGTGTGTGTGTGCGAGACAGATAAATCTCTTTGCTCTGTGTTCATTGTTGTTTTGTTGTTTTGGTCCCAGCAGCCTGGCTTGGGCCAATACAAATTCCTGATGTGGTATCCTGGCAATAGGCGGGTTTCCATGGCCATCGCCGGCTTGGCAGGAGAGATAACGGTCTCCCATGTGCTCTGCTTTGTGCCGTCCTTTGGTCTAGCTTGGACTCCAGGGTGAATTTCAGAGAAATGGTTTGAGGAAGAGATGATGTGATTGTGGAGGGAAGTGTGTGCAGGAAGCAGACAATGACACAGATACATACGCTTAGCTGCTCATCCCATGAAAGGAGGCAGCAGACAAGCTGGGTGGCTGTTTTGAAGAGTGTGTGTGTGTGTGTGTGTGTGTGTGTTTCCTACTTTTTATGTGAGAGGTCTGATGTGCTTGTCAATGTGTGAAGTGAGATATAACACACTTTTTGAAACAAGCATTCATAAATGTGGATGTATTGTGTGTGTGTGTGTGTGTGTGTGTGTGTGTGTCCCCTCCTCCCTTCTGCTACCCCCCGTAGTGTTAATGTTTTAATGTTTAATTGAGGTTCACAGATGAGTGATAATGATTAACACAGTGCATCTGAGTTCCCACTACTCTGACCCCATTCGTTATACTTCATGGCAGAGAAGTATACTAAGAATATCACAAAAGTAGTCTCTTGTTGTTGTATTTTAACCTGTGAAGCACCTTGGTCAACCTTGGTTGTTTTAAGTGTGCTATATAAATAAAATTGATATTGATATTGATATAAAAGATACATTATATGACTACATTCAAAAACATTTGATCATTCATCATGTAAATACTGTTTTGGCCTTTTAGGTGACACGTATAACAAGTTTAATTATCTGAACCCACCCCAATGTAGAATATAAACTGAACTGAACAATGTAACTATTTGCCCACAGACGGTCACCTAAAATGCCACTGAGGCTGCACAGTTTGAACAAACACCTCTGTGAACTGAAACATGTAGTCACACATTCCCAAAGTACATGCATGCAAGTGTGTGTGTGTCTGTGTGTGTGTTTCATGTTTTTATATTTCGGTGGGTACCTGAACCTGAATGCACACCAACACTTGGGGACTTGTGTCACCATGGGGACAAAAAGGGGGGTTCCCATGGGTAGAGACTTGCATGTAGTGGTGATGGTTTAGGGGAAGGGGCTAGAGAATGCATTATGTCAATGTAAATATGTGTGTGTGTGGGGGGGTGGGGGTGCGTGTGCATACCATTTTGTTAGAACTGGATGATTTTGCAGCAGATGTGTCACACATTACCAAGAAATTTAGTTCACATCATCACATATTAACTTACACTTGCTGCACCGGCGGAAAAAGGAAAACAAAGGAGAGAGAAAAAGATTTTAAAAGGAAGGGAGGGATGGACGAGGGTATAGGAGTGAGCAGATACTTTGAAGATACTTGTAACATCGTCGTTGAATGCCATTGCCTGTTTGAAAGCAAAGCATGCACTAGCAATAGTTTGATATTTTGGGGGTGTATCCTTATTGAGCTTCTTGCTGAGGGTTGGATGAGAAGATTCATACCGCTCTCATGTCTGTGTGCGTTACATATAAAGCTACCGCCAGCACTTGGTTAGCTTAGCCTAGCATGAAGACTGGAAACTGGTGGAAACAGTTAGCCTGGCTTTGTTCAAGGCTAACAAAATACACCTGAAGCTCTTTAATTAACACGTTATATCTCCTTTGTTTAATCAGTACAAAAGCCCAGGTGCTGGACTATTAATTGGGCGGAAGCAGTGACTTACTGAAGTCTTCCCAGCTTGTCTGGGAACATCACAGTGACAACAAGACTACGGCAGGCCTTCGGACAGAGCCAGTCTTGCTGTTTACCTCTGTTTACCCTGTTTCCAGTCTGTATGCTAAGCTAAGCTGCTGATGGTAGCAGATTAAAAAAAAAGACAGGAAAGTGGTATCAATCTTCTCATCTAACTCCTAGGAAAAAGGTATATAAGCATGTTTCCCAAAATGTGGAACTACTCCTTTGTTTTTGACTTGCATCAACTTCTGTTGCATCAGTCTGTTTCTTGGTTGTCCAAGTCTATTTCTTGAGACCAAATCAAATCCCTAATTAAACCGTTGCATCTTTTTTTACTGGCTCAATTTTGATTTTCTCAGCTGCTCAGTTTCATTCTTGCCAAAATATTATTTTGTTTTCAAAATGAATATCTCAGCATTTGGTTCTCTTCAGTTAATTTAATCTCCCTCTCCCCTCTCTCCTTCAGGTCTCTGCTGTAGAAAGACCGCCTTCTCCAGAATATGCCTCGTCTCCATGGTAACCAGCCTCAAGCAAACCCAGAAAAACATTGGGCCAAATTTGTCTACTCTTGTCCAACCTACCTGATCCTGGACCATACTGAAGAGGATTTAAACAAAAATTCACCTAAGTAAAAATTCTTAAAATATTAGTGATGTTACCTAATCCTTGTAGTTATTATAACACTTTCACAGGACCCAGAATGCCTAAAACAGTGCCTGGAAATTTAAATTGATGTCATTTTCAAAGGTTTTACTTTCTACTCTTTTGGGATCCCAATCCAGAGGACTCTCTAAATTTGTCCCCTAAAACCAAGAGGAAAGTGTTATTCAGAAGTTTGCTTTCCTTTATCGTTATGTCGGGGATGTATTCATTCTTAGTTAAGGGATCTTAAACTCAGGGGCACCAGTCCCAAACTGGTCTAAAAGGAGTCCTAAACCAGGACCAGAATGCACCAGCTGTTCAGCCAGGTGCTGGGGCAGAGGGATCTGTCCAGAGCGGGGGATCTGTTTTCTCTGGACGACTCAGAGATCGAAGACTGTCTGTCTCAGGCTCTGGACCAGATCAAGGCCATCTCCTGCTCACAGGTCTGTTGGCAGAACCAAAACACATAGATGATATTTATCCAAAATATTATAGGGCAAATGTCAGTTTAATTCATTATTTATGTTCTCATCCATAATTCATTTTTTTGTCCATAATTTTTCATTGTATGCTTAATTTTGCATCTTCTTACTGTCTGCTGGCTGACAGGACTATTTGACCAATGACAATGACCAGGCTGTGGTGGAGATTTGCATAACGCGCATCACCACGGCCATAAGGGAGACGGGCTCCATCGAGCAGCACAGCAAAGCCCTGGTGGGGCTGTGGGAGTCGTGTCTGGAACATAACCTCACCCCTCAAGGTGAAAACACAGAGGACACGCCGCATGCCAAGATAGCCTCTGACATCACCAGCTGTATCCTGCAGGTACACACACGCAGACACAAGACTTTGTTTTGTAGTGTTGTGTTCCAGAGAGAAGTACTTCTCTGTTTGTTTTAACTGCACAAACACTCCATACCTTTACACATACCTTTACATGTTGACACTTCTGAGTGTGCTCACATGGTGTAAAATGGGTACCCTGGCACAAGTGTTGCAAATATGTGATTAATCCAACAGCCAATGTGATACTTCAGCGCAAAATTTGCCGTGCAGGGTTTTGGTCTGTATGATTTAGTCAACAACCATTTATGGAAAATACATTTTAAAGTGTTTAGATTTCCCAATCATTTATAGCCGGGGAACCCCTTGAAAGAAGCAATATCTGCATGTGACCAGAGATGTAGTGGTACATATAAGCAGGCTTACAACATATACCCACCTCTGGACAGGGGGATTTACCATGGACCTACCTAAAAATAGCAACAGATATGTATCAGCGCACGTATTGCAGAGCAAGGCTGCAAGCAATCGAGTTACAGTCTACCATAACCTAGTATAATAGTAACCTGTGATGTTGACTTCCAGGGTGTGTGAAATGGCTGGGTACATTTAAAACATCAAAAGGATTGGTGGAGCAAGTATTAATATCTTGTATTTAAGTAAAAGTAGCAATATTTCAGTATAAAAGTCCTGCATTGAAAATGTCTCATTAGCTAAATGTACTTCATATTCATAATGCAAAAAAATGTCCGCTGTGAATGTTCAACAAGGCTTCTATTTATTTTATCGTTGGATTATTATTACTGATGCATTCATATGTAACTATTATATATACAGTTGGCTAGTCTAAGCTATAGCAGTGTATAGTATTTATACGCTTAACTTTTTTTTTTTATATAAAAGCTGGAGTATACACACCTATGAAGACACCTCTACACCACTGCTTGTCCCAGGTTTTGTCTATGTGATGTGATCAGTTCAACCATTGAGTAATTTTTTCCTTTGAAACCACTCAGTTTGTTTCATCTGTAAAACCAGTAGAGGCCTTACAAGGTAAAACTATTCAGTATCTCAGAGGGGAAAAAACAATGATAAGATAGAATCTAATACGATAATCTAAATTTAAGCATTATTTTTCTTCCTTTTGGTCCCGTCTGTCATCTTGTGCCCCCTGAGAGGGGTCCTGTGTCTAAACCAACACAACACAAAAATATTGATAATGCTATTTGTTTTTCTGGGTCCATTGTATAAGTTGTGGAAGTTGAGGGAAAGTGAGTCACAAGTATAAATTATGACATCCATTATGTAGCTTATCCAAAGGTGGATTTTTGCTTTCAGAGGAAATATTTTATGTACTTTTTTTGTGTATCACTGCCGAGGTCCTTTAAAATCAAAATCTTTCCTACTTTTCCCATCAGACTCGCTCTCTCTTACCTTCTCCCTCCCCCTCCCTGAATTTTCCTGTGGGAATGGGAATGTCCTTAATACCATCGTAATGAGACTTCTTGAGAAAAGGCACGCGCGCACACATGCGCACGCATTCACGCGCGCACACACGTTGAGGTGAGACCTGACAGCTCTGACAGCAGCTCCAGACTCTAAAGACCTACAACAGGCGTAAAGTCCAAACTCCAGCATTTATCAGGAGAGCATTTCTCTCTCTTCACTCTGTCACTGTTTCTTTTTTCTGTATCTTTATTTCATTCTGTCTTCCCCTGTCTCACTAGTTTGCTCTTACCTTCTCGTACCCTCCGACTATCTTTGTCTCTTCTCTGATTTCTTCTGCTCTCTTTGTCTTCCTGTTGCTTTGAACTTACAGATGCACAAACACTGTTTTTACCCTTCCACTGATACTCCCCCAGAGAGGAGAGAAGTGAGCAAAAGACTGTAGGAAGAAGGGTTTTTCATTTACACACTGCTTATATGCAACACACACACACACACACACACACACGTGGCCACAGATTTCTAGCTTATGATGGCATATTCAGTGTTTTTTTAATACAGACTGCTTGATCTGTGCTGTGCCTGACATTAAAGTGAGTCTCTAATAAGATAAAAGAGAGAGAGAGATGGGACGGATAAATAAATCTGTATATCCATACATACGATAAAAATGTAATGTGTGTTTAGATTGAAATTAGGGCCTGACAAATGAATGTAATGTAATGGAAATTGATAAATAGGTAGTTTGATGGATCATCTTGATTGGTGGAATAATAATTTGTGAATATGTTGTCTGCACTGCCATCACGTGGCAGAATAGAAATGTGACAGACACACAGAGAGAGAGATAGCAATATTGTTGTTATACATTCATGCCAATAAAGCTAATTTGAATTGAATTGAGAGAGAGAGAGAGAGAGAGAGAGAGAGAGAGAAACTCACTAAAACATAATCATGAAAAAAATCTGGTCGAAAGGCATTGATGATGAGGATGGTGGAGTCTGAAAGTGGATACACAAAGGGAAATTATAATGTCTAAGGAATGCAGGGAACATGGCAGATTAATGATATATCATGAAACATATTCAACGGAGTAAAAGTAATGTATGTAGCTACTGCCAAGGATCTGAAAAATGGAAATGGAAATCTTTTCTCCACAGCTAAAAGGCTTAAAAGCAGAGGGATTCTCTCTCCACCTTCTCTAGAAGCATTGCAGCCTGGGGGTGGGGCTGGATCAGAAGCAGTCTCCTTTGGCTGCTTCTTTTCCTCATCTTTCTCTGTCTCTGCTGTCTCACACAAACACAGACACACACACACACACACACACACACACACACACACACACACACACACACACACACACACACAGACTTGGTATCAGTTTGTCCTGTTGAGGGTGCTAGTGCATTTCAAATCCCCTTCCTGTTGTTCCTTCTTTGAATGTTCACAGGTACAAACTTGCGCATGTGTATGCATCCTCAAATACAGCAACAATTTTCTTTTCTCCCCTCCACACTTTGATCAGTTTGGTAAATGTGAACAATTTAAGTCAGCGCAAGCACTCATTGTACTGCTTGAGGAAACTAGCTGTAGTTGGCTCTCTATTCTCCTCACTTTGCAAAAAACCCGGGTGGTGCAGATGCATTGCATCTGAACAGAGATTTTCTAAATATTTCTTTTTGATAAAAACAATAAAAGTGGTGATAAAGGTTTGGAGCAATACTGGGGATGCTGTGTGTGGGCTTAATGGACCGTACCAGTTTTTTTGCACGTTTGAACACTTTTACCACAAATCACGTTACAAAGTATTTACAGTTATTACTTTTTTATTATCATCTGGCTTGTCCATTAAACTCAAGAAAGAAGAAATGTTACTATGGAAAGGTTTTTGTCAAATGTCCCAAATAAAATCCCCTGTGTTGACAATTGGCAGTTGCTGTCACCTCATCCACCACTCTTCTTTCATCCCCTTCAGAACTACAGTTGTCCGTCGGTCATGGTGCTTGCTGTCCCGGTCGCGGTGCGGTTCCTGCAGAGGGGAAACAGGGAGCTGAGCAGGAACATGTCCAGTTATCTCTCCCTGGCTGCTATAGCCAAGGCTGACCTGCTGGCTGAACACACAGAGGCCATAACAGTCAGTGTGCTGGGAGGTAGGACACACATACAAGTGCTCATACACGCGCACATACTGTACGCACATATTAACATACATGCACACAAATGCATCTGCATGAACATATTTTAATCCTTGTGCAGCCATACCTCACTAGATGTTGCTGTTAAAAAGACCTTTTTTCTCCATACAATTGGTTTAAGTGGTCTCCTGTGTTTCTCTTCTCTCCTTAGTTTCTGCAGTCCCACATTGATATTCTTACACACTTAGGCATATGTGTATGTGTGTGTGGGCGTTTGCCCTTTGAGTCACAGAAGGAGCTTTGCAGGAAAGCTCTGCTTATGAATGAGCATCGAAAGGATTCTCTAACAAAGCCATCATAGGCTTTATTCTATTTATTTAGTTGTCAGTGGTTGACATGTATTGGCTTGCAGAAATAGCACTTGCATGCTCTTATTGTGAGGGCTGTTAGCAGACCTGCAACAATGGGATCAGCTGGTTTACTGGAGTGGAAAAATGGATTACTGTTGTAATCAGCAGTTGTAGTAGCAAACCGCAGTCTTATCCTATCATGAGCCATAGTGAATAATGGTATAATGATTGGTAGCTCCATATCATTGAGGATAATAATGATGGTAAATAACAGCTGTTACAAATAATAATTTCTCTGATGACCCTTTTGATGTCGTATGGAAATTCATACGTAAGAAGGAGGTGGAGAAAAGGGTAATTGCTGTTTGGTGTTGTGCAGTTTATCTTGTTTTTGTCTGTCTGTGCTACGTAAACATTTTCTTGAACTTGGTTCCGTTTTCTGTACTTTACTTTTTGATCAAAACATATTAAAAAGGTCCATTGCTCCATTCATTGATTTGCCACATAAATACAGCGTTGTTCCATCTTGTGCACACGTTATTCTATTCATTTGTGTATTCAGCCCCGCAAGGAATTAAAATTTCAAACAGTTGAAGAAAAACAAATTTGTTTTCCCATTGACCAAAGCATATTAAGTGTGTGCACGTATCCTCTCAAAGTGCTCTGAAAATCCTCCTGGAGCTTAATGTGAAATTGTCCTCAAGCATTGATCTGATCAGTATTTTTCAGTAACTTCCCTTCTTAACAGTTAGGGTCAGAGAGGGGAGCTGAGCTGACATCTGGTCAGTGGTTAAAGGTTCAGTGTGTAAGTTTTAGTGGCATCTAGTGGTGAGGGTTGCAATTGACCCTTCGCTAAGCCACGCTGCAGTATAGGTCTCACTCTAACTGGGGTCCGACACTTTCATGGATGCGCTCCATTGACTCTAATGCAAAAAGAGTAGTTTTCTAGCTTTCTTTGGCTATATTTTATTTTTATTTATTATTTATTTTTACTTTATTTTAAGATATGGTCAAATGCTGTTCCTGGGGCACTTGTAATAGTTAAAGTTGCTACCTAGAGAGGTTGAAAGGAGAAGTACGATTTATTCTCTTTCCAAAACCTAAAATCAATCCAGAAAAATGTAGGCTGTGGATTGTTTCTAATGTAACGTCTTCCTACTGAATGGAACAAAATAAAGCCCTACTGTTCTGCTTGTTAATGATTGTAATAATGAATAGAGGCCTACCCAGCTTTACGGGGACAGTGTTGATCATTCATATCGTTGTCTTTGGTCACAATCGTCAGTTCACTTGGTTCACTTGTACTGTGTGATCGGTAGGCTTTAGCTTCTATCTTTAATTTTTTTCACGTCTGTTTGAGTCGAGACGACAGCCTGAATACAACCTTCAAATGTATAATGCAACTGCAAAACTCTCTGCTTCTTTCTGAGCTCACTTTTTCCAACAAATTTGACAATATTTCTTCAGGGAGTGCAGTAGAAGACAGTTTGTCAGACTTAGCAACAGTAACTAAGGGTGGCGGGGCTTAGCTCACGGTGCATTCATGTGCTCCTTGGATGGTCCCTTTTCCCAAGTTGTGTTGAGTTCACCAGAGCTTCACAGGTTGCCACTGGAGTCCTCCTCCACTCCTCTTCCATCCACCAGCTCTGTGATGATGACATCACGGAGCTGGTGGATGTTAGAGACCTTGCGCTCCTCCACCTTCCGTTTGAGGAAGCCCCACAGATGCTCAATAGGGTTTAGGTCTGGAGACATGCTTGGCCAGTCCATCACCTTTACCCTCAGCTTCTTTAGTAAAGCAGTGGTAGTCTTGGAGGTGTGTTTGCGGTTGTTATCATGTTGGAATACTGCCCTGTGGCCCAGTCTCCAAAGCTAGGGGATCATGCTATGTAATAAAGCAGATGTTTAAATTATTTGAAATCGCAGATGTACATATTTAGAATTTTTTTTTTCTTCCTAGCCTTTTCTTGCCACAGCTGAATGCTATGCTTCAGTGTGTCACAGTACATGTCATTCATGGTTCCCTCAATGAACTGTGCCGGCAGCACTCATGCAGCCCCAGACCATGACACGCCCACCACCATGCTTAACTGTAGGCAAGACACACTTGTCTTTGTGCTCCTCACCTGGTTGCCACCACACACGCTCGACACTATCTGAACCAAATAAGTTTATCTTGGGCTCATCAGACCCCAGGACATGGTTCCAGTAAACCATGTCCTTAGTCTGCTTGTTTTCAGCAAACTGTGGGCTTTCTTGTGCATCATCTTTAGAAGAGGCTTCCTTCTGGGATGACAGCCACACCGACCAATTTGATGCAGTGTGTGGCGTATGGTCTGAGCACTGACAGGCTGATCCCCCACCCCTTCAACCTCTGTGCCCTCAACTTCTTTGGTCGACCATGGTGAGGCCTGTTCTGGTGGAACCTGTCCTGTTGAACCGCTGTATGGTCTTGGCCACCATGCTGCAGCTCAGTTTCAGGGTCTTGGCAATCTTCTTATAGCCTAGGCCATCTTTATGTAGGGCAACCATTCTTTTTTTCAGATGATAAGAAAGTTCTTTGCCATGTTGAACTTCCAGTGACCGGTATGAGGGAGTTTGAGAGCGATGACACCAAATTTAACACACCTGCTTCCCATTCACATCTGAGACCTTGTAACACTAACGAGTCACATGACACTCTGGAGGGAAAATGGCTAATTGGGCCCAATTTGGACATTTTCACTTAGGGGTGTACTCACTTTTGTTGCCAGCGGTTTAGACATTAATGGCTGTGTGATGTGTTATTTTGAGGGGACAGAAAATTTACACTGTTCACAGGCTGTACACTCACTACTTTACATTGTAGCAAAGTATCATTTCTTCAGTGTTGTCACATCAAAAGATATAATCAAATATTTACAAAAATGTGAGGGGTGTACTCACTTTTGTGAGATACTGGATATAGATGGAAATGGCTCACTCTAAGGTAATAAAAACATAATAACAGTTCATTATGTAAGGTCTTTATACACCATTGAAAATAAAGTTATGTGTATTATAATGCATTTCCATCGATAGATCCTCCTAAATATTACACACTGAACCTTTAAAGACAGCTATTCCCTGTAACCTTTTTTTCTGCCCGTGTAACTTTTTTTTCAACATGTTTTAAAGCTCATTAGTGTAGTGTAGGTGTCTAAAGGGCCATAGTTAGCACTGTTTGATGGAGATCTGTTTACCCCCCCAGGCCTTCACACACACACACACACACACACACACACACACACACTCTCCATTAATAAACACACACAAGGAGGTTGCCGTGGCAGAGGTTTAGATAATGAAGTTTACTTTCTCTAGAAATAACGTGATTTTGTGTGGCTCTGTGGGCATTTGTGCAGGTGTGTTCTCTGTGAATCATTCTACTCGTGAACTACAATCAACTAACACCTCATACACACATTGGCACACACACACACACACACACACACACACACACACACACACACACACACTAGCACGTGGTGCTAATCACTTCATGCATCAGAGTGAGGCAGCCACCACGGTGATGCACCCACTGAGCACATTTTCTGCCAGCAGCTCAGCACATGAAACAGCTTAGCCCTCTGCTGTCTGGTTCATTTTACAAGTGATGTTTAGCCAGAGTTTGGGCTTAACTCGTCAGATCGTTAGAACACACTTTGCGCCATTGGTTAATAAAACTGTGCAAAAATAGAGATAGCAAGTGGTCCCTGCCAATTAACATAAACAGTAAAACAACACAAAACATGACAACACTTACAGCTTCCAAGTTTGAAGTCAGGTCACGTACAGCCCATGGCGATCCATCCTTGCACCGTTCCAAAGCTCATTACTGTTGTGGAACTTTTGAAGCACTAATTTATTAATTTAACATGCCATGAAGTGTAAAGTATGAACATTGCGGTTGTTGCGGTGCTTGCCATCCTCCACAGAAGCCTTGACCAATAGCACGGTATTTCAATTTTGCGGTTATCGCTATTTTTTGGCTCCAAGCAAAGTTCAGGATGGCAGTGAGTAAGTATGCTATACGTGCATATTTTATAGTTTCACATCTGTCATTTTCTGTCAATTGGCTCCTGAGGCATTACCTTGTAAGGACTCAGGGGTAAACACACATACCTTTTTTTTTCTGACTAACCCCACCCCCATTTGAGTAATGCAATACCTGCTTATAGACTGTATAATTTAAGTGCTGTGTTTGTACAGCTGGCCCTGTTTAACACAACTTTATGCACTCTGTGTGGCGCCAAAGTCAAAATCAGTTCATCTGACAGTTCTTTGTATCAGTACGTAATTTTAATGTGTTTCATTTTAACATTTACAATTATAAGTTCACATACTAGTATCACATTCTTAACCGTCAGTTGCTCAGGGATGATATAGTCACAATGTTTCGAAATTTTTAAATTTCTTTCCAAAAGGTTTATGACACCCCCAAAGTCATCACATATATCACCATTAGGGACACTAATGTGCACTCTAACACAGTGAAACCTAGCCTTGTGTGTGAGTTTAGGGAGAAACACAAATAAAAAGAGAGAAGAAAAAGAAATAAAGGGACAAAGAGGAGGAAAAGATGGGATAAATAGAAAGTTAAATGCAGATACACTAAAGCTCAGATAGGAGTTGATGACCTGAGGG